TTCGCATTCGGTTTGTTATGAATTTTAATTCTTTAAATATTGGACTCAATTGTCGCTCACAATCGGCTGATTGCGGACACGAGGTGTCGATCGGCGAGTCATTCAACGGCGGATTATAAGCACTGATGTCCGGCTCGTCTGACGACCGGTTTTGCATACTATAGAGATTTGTGTGAAACGAGTCTATGTTTGAATAGGAGTGACAACCCGTCGGACACCTGGCGTTCAAATGACTAAAGTCTTCGTCGCCATCCATTAGGTTGGACATGGCGTGTCGGGGCGCGTGTAATTGCTCTAGCTCCTTGATCTTGTTGCTTAAGTTTGTCATTTCCTGGCGCTTCTTAGGCGATGGATTCGATGTATTGCCGGTCCGACGCCTCGGGGGCTTCACTTTGCCCGGCCTATCGATGCACAGCAGCTTAGGCAACCACGTTAGGATTATTATCCGGATCTATTCAGTTAGCGTATTATTATTATGCCATAAATACTATCATCAATTATGATTATATGCATGCCCAACATTAATATAAAATTATTCCCAAAGTGCATGTACTGTGCGGTACGGTATATCTCATTTATGTTTCATAAACATGATAAATATAAGAATATTCCTTAAATACTGTTATAAACATGCACAATATGTCAGGCATTTTATGTCATAAAAAACATCAAAACCATAATTTAAAAGTAAATATTTTCACACAATTATTGAAGTAATAAAACAAAACAAATGATAAGAAAATTCAAATCTTATTCTGTTTTTCTATTATTCTGTGATAAAGAATAAAATTCACTTTATTTAATGATAACATAACCACAAAAATAAGACAAATTCTCATGTTTTTCAATAAATATTTCAGTGAAAACATAAGGCTTTCAACTCTTGTTCTCAAACTTGATATAACTTTCATAGAGTTTGTTAAGAAAAAATTTAAAACTCATTTATTATGGTTAAAAGAGTGGAGTTGTGTGGGTATGTGTTGGCCATATAGAGGAAGGGGAGGGTAGGGGTGGGTGTACTCACCCAATGGGGCATATCGTGATGTTCAGTAGTTCTGTGATGGAAATTGAGCACAATTACAGTCATCACTACAGAGAACGCAACCATAATCCTACAAATATATCATGTGTTGTTATATTATTGTCTTCTTTTCAATCATTTGTTATATTTTTGTTATATATTTTGTTTCAAAACACAAATACAATTTGTGTTTCAAAATTGGTTGTATTTATTTTATTTCATTTTTTTGTTGTTGAAAATCGTCGCAAACATATCAACCGATACTTACATAATGCACGCAAAATAAGAGCCTAGAAATAAATTAAACTCATTGTTATTTATTATATATAAATATTTGCATAGTTTTAGGAATAGTCTAAACGTATTGTTATATAATAAAAAGAGGACTCCATTTGATTCGTTCTTTCATTGTCTCAAAAAGTTATCAAAATATAGTTTATTAGCGAAGAATTATGATAAATCATGTTTTTGCTCATAACTAAGGCTTCGAAATTTCGGGAATTCCCGAAGAAAAATAGTTAACAAAATCACCGGGAATTACACACCATTAGCTTTAGGGGTCTTAATAGACCTAAAATATATAAGTTTTATTTTCCCGATTTTTCCCGATTTTGGCACTTTTTGAGAAAATTCCCGATTTTAGTATATTGTCAGGAAATTTCCCGAAAAGCCTTTATTTTATTAAAAATAGCACAGAAATGGTACATTTTTCAAGGTAATTTTTTTAAAATATGGATTTTCAATCAAAATCCTAATGAATTTGCTGACAGAGTGCTAAAACTGGCTGCAAAGTTCACATAATTTATGATAAATTTATTGTATATTATAGTAAAATAAATAAAACAAGTGCTTGTGAATATGATGTTCATCTACATTAGATACAAATGTCTATATTTTGCTTCATTAATGCATATAAACCTTTATAAAATCACTTAGATACATAATTATTATGTGAAAAGCCAATAAAAACGTAATTCCCGAATTTTCCCGATTTTGGCCATGTTTACTCCCGATTTTATAGGTTTTTATTCCCGAAAAATCGAAGCTCTACTCATAACCTAACCCACCAAATGGTAACCCCTTTTTATTAGATAGAAAATAATATACAAAAGGAATATAAATCATTGCAATCATTACCGACAATCGATACGGAGTCAGAAGTGGCTGTTATTTGGATAGAAAAACAAGAATAAAAGAAATTTTGTTTTAGAAAAACACGTAATACTGTATTTATAAATGATTTCGATAAATAACAATGTGGTAAACAATGGGTACAAACCGGGCATTATTTCTGCCAATTGCATCAAAAACACCTATAATTGTAATAAATATGATTACAATTGTGTCAAACAGTCACTATAACTAACAATAATATAGTAAATATTGTGTGCTTACAATCATACTGAGCAAAATGGTTACACCGAGAGTTAATTTCTCTCCAGAATCTGGAGGTAATGTAAAACTCAATAAAGTCATCGATGATATAATAACTGATGGTATTATTAGATTAAAGCCGTAATATAGGGTTCGGCGACGAATTTTTATGGTAAATGTAATGTCGACATAAGGCTCTGGACAACAGGCATAGTATAACACGGTTCGTACTGCCGGTACACCTGTTTAGACATATCAAACATTTAGACTTAATTCCTGTAATGATGGCAAACAAGGGTTGTATTTATATATTGCATAACATAATAAAATATTTGATTTGCTGGACACAGGAATATGAGAATAACATAGAGTAGAGGGAAATAAAAGTATGTCAATAATTATATGAGTTAATCGAAAAACATCAATATTGCAGTTATTAATAGTGAAAGTCTATTACACTTTGTGCACAGGAATATAGTGTACATAAGAATATATAGAGTATATATTATAGTACAGTGTACTGACCCATAAGAACCCATTCGCCATTCGCTATATAAGTAGATATATCGCCGCCGTCTTCGCTGGAAAGTCTCAGATCTAATGCAAATCCGTCATAACTAAAAGCAAAGCAATGTTTTTCGTCTCAAAACTCAGCACTTATTAAAAGTATGTGTGTCTTCACTAACGACATCCACAACAACACCGACAACACAACAACAATCATATAACAGATAACAATGTGATGTGTGCTTACGTCCAGCTCCCAAATTTCATCTCGCACTTTTGGTCGTCAAAGGGAAACCATGTTATATCGATCTTACAGGTGCTCTTGAATATGCCTTCAATTATTAATACATCAAATATATTACAATTACTTTCATTTTGTCGCTTAAAGGCTTGTTCTGTGTTCACAAACATTACGATAAGTTATATACCAAATGCACTGTTCAGTACAGTAAGTATATATCGTTTCTCTTATTTCTTAAGGATATGTTAACAGAACTCTTGCACTAAATATTCAATCTATTTATTAGCCAAACATATCCGCAAATATATTAATTCCTAAATTAATTTACTATTTGATCAATAGTTTACCGACAAAAACAATTTATTCTTCTGTTGTGGTCTAGAGTTATGTTTGTGAACACAATTGCATTAAATTAATATTAAATAAATTGCATGTAAATGATTGAAACAAAGTAAGGATAACATGAATATCTAGGGCTCGACAGACCGGGCGGAACGTATAGACAGCTGCCATTATTGCGGACGACAACGTTTGTATGATAAGTACCGTCAAATTTTTCGTCAGCACTGGTTTTATTCAATACATGCGATACAGAGAATACAATACAAGAACCGGTGATTCAATTGATTACAAGTATAATAATTAAATTAAAAGTGATTACAACAGACCTGTTATACATGAGAATATCGGGTTTCCAAATCTTTTCGGGCGTTATCCTCAGGTCTTGAATGCCTCCGTAATCACTGGTATTCCAGCGGAGGTTTGTGTCCACCCATTCCTGTGAGCCATCATTTCATATAACATAATATGAGCGCAAATTAATGCAAAACAACAAAATAAAGAGTTTGTATAACAACAACAAAACAGTTGATAAATTAGATGTAGAAAAATAATGTCTACAAATGACAACTATTCCAAAAATTTGAATCACAAACACATCTTCTTTTGGCTATAAGTTGGGTAATGAGAGGTCTGAGCGCTGGAGTGAACACATATCCTAATGACTGCCTATCCATCCCTCAAACCATCAAATAACTCGACATTTCAATAGTTAAAGCAAACGGTATTTTATATTCACTTTCCATTGTGTGCTCTTAATCCTCGATTAGCACATATTTCTCTCTCATGTGAATCGCTTTAAATACAACTTTTTTCTAGTCATATAAGAAATTCTTGTCTCTATTAATGATTTTTCTTGTGTTTAAATTTTTGAATAACTTTATAGTATTGATCAAAATCTTATATCTATTCCTTATTCGCTTTACTGTATCTGTATTTATATATTGAAACAAAACTCTTTAAATCAAATAATATATCATTTTTGTCGTATTCTTATATTAAAAAATACTTCAAATAAATATCACGAATATCTCAAAAGTCATATAACCTGTAGTTATATCAAAGATAATACAAGAAATATCTATCATTTATGATCCCATTCCTAACCATTATATAAATGTTTGTGTGACTATTGCTGTAATAAAAATCCTTATGAAAATTTATGATTTAAAAATTCAAAAGTAATTAAAACAGAATATACATTGTATACTTTATATATATTTATATACATTTCTAACAGATATTCTTATAAAGAGTTATTTGAATCAATAATTTTACCATTAGTTATAAAGACGAGTATTAATTAATGATAGCATTATATAAATAATAAGTTTTTGTGTGTATAGTATTGTATGTGGAGTTAAAGTGATGTAACGAGTGTTCAAT